CAGGGCACGTGTGTGTGCGTGCCCAAGATCCCAAGAGGAGAATGGAGGAGAAGGGATTACAGTATGGCCATCCCCCCTGGGGAGGGGGTGATTTCTGGCCTTCTATCTCTCTGTCTCTCTTTCTGGCGAGCGCACGCGCCCTACAGCAAAAACCTCTCCAAGAAAAGAAAAAAAAATATTCTTTGGGGCCAACAGATGGCGCGGTGGTTAAGATGCTGGACTCCCACATGGCCTACCATTGTTCCAGCTCTGGACCTGACGCTGGCCAATCATGCCTGAAGCATGTGTGTGTGCCCCAAACCCCAGGATGAGAATTGAGGAGAAGGGACTGCAGCACGGCCATCCCTCCTGGGGATGAAGTGAAGTGAGAAGCCACACTTCTCACTTTCTCTCTGCCTCTCTGGCAAATGCACAGACCATATTTAAAAAAAAAAAGAAAGAAAAAACCTTTTTCAATTATTTCTCTGCCTGAGTGGCCACCATGATCACTCCTGTCACATGACAAGTGCGTATTCAGCCCCCAAGACCCAGTCCAGTGTCACTCCCCCAGGGGCTCACCTCATTCCACTCGCTGCAGGGCCTGGGTGCCCTTTGTCCCTATCTCTCCAGATCCTGGCCAGGGTCTGGGATAGGCCCCAGGTCCCAGCGTCCCTCCCAGGGGGCACAGGGTACCCTTTGTGGGATCCCTCCACACTCACCCCTGGGCTCCAGCTGTCGGGGAACCCCTCCCCAGTGACTTTGTCTTCCTTCTTCCAGGCTGGTTGTGGGTGCCCCGCTGGAAACCAATGGCCACCAGAAGACAGGAGACGTGTACAAGTGTCCGGTGACCCACGGGAACTGCACCAAGCTCAACCTGGGTAATGCAGGCCGGGGGTCCCTCCTCACGGGGCAGCCATTGTCGAGTGAGGGCAGGCCCTGCACGGCCAGGCACGCAGTCACGCTGGCCCCTCCTAGCTGCCCTGGGAGGTGGCCAGTGGGCACTGCTGCCCACCTCAGATAGGGAAGCCGAGAGCCTTCCCACGGTCACAGCTTATCAGAGCCTGGCCAGGGTTCGAACCCAGGCCTCCAGAGTCTCTCCGGCCTACTGGCCGCCCCCCAGTTCAGGGTTTTCTCTCTAAGCAGGAGGAAAGCGTCGCCCGCCTCCTTTGTGGTCGGGAGGGTTTGGCAGTGGCTGACACCTCATGTCTTACGTAACTTCCCCAGTTGCTGTCAGGCCATGCAGGAATCCTGCCTCGCTTACCCCACAGCACCCACGTGAGGGTGAGCACCGGAGATGAGGGGCCCCGGGGCCCTGCTGATGAGCGGCAGGCTGTCTCCAGCCGCCTTCCCCACTCCGCAGCACCCCGTGGGCAGTGGCGGCTTAGTACCTCACACTGGGCGCCTCCTAAGCCCTCACTGAACTGGGAGGGGGAGGCCAGCAGGTGGTGTCGTGGTCCAGCCACTGGACTCCCACATGGCCAGTCGTGGTTCAAGTCCCAGATCTGGCGGCTTGAAAATCACACCGGGCACATGTGCGTGCCCAAAATCCCAAGGGGAGAATAGAGAAGGGACTGCTGCGTGCGCATCCCCCGGGGGATGATTTCTCACTTTCCCTCTCTCTGTCTGTCTCCAGTGACCACATGCGCCCTATGGCGGAAACCTTAGAGAAAAAAAAGCTGTGTGTGTATGTGCATGTATGTACGCCTGTGTGTGCACGTGTTTGTATGTGTGTGCATGTGTGTGTGTGCATGTACATGTGTTTGTGCACACGAGCATCCACTAAGCACCTCTGCTTTGTCCTGTGGTCAGGCCGTGACTGGGTGGTCACTGTACTCTCATGGGGAGGGAAAGTTCCATTTGGGCTGAAAGCGGCAGTCAGGCCTTGTCCTGGGCTGGTATCTCCCTCTTCTGGAGGAAGCCCTGCTCTAAGGGCAGGGCGGGCTCCCTGGGGAGGGGAGGTGGGGGATGAGCAGATGAATGGAAAGGCGAGGATCAAAGAGGAAGCTCCCAGAGCCGGTGCCCCACAGAGGCCAGCTGGCTGTCAGGTGGCCCGGCTCCTGCTGTCCGCATCTGCGCATCTGTGTCAGCGTGGGACGGGGGCGGGGCGCTTCACAGAGGAGCAGGCGGAGCAGGCGGCTGTCAGCCTGTCCTCACCACCCTGAGACACGGCCCCTGGGACCCCTCCCCTGCTCCTTCACTGAGCCGCGGAGTCCGGGTTCACGCGTGCACACGTGAGCAGATCCGGTCTCACTGTCTCAGCCTTCCCAGCACCCGCACATCCAAGCCCTGTGCTCACTGCTGGGGTACAGTGGGGGACAGGAAGCTGAGCTCTGCCGGGAGGGTGAGCATAAGCCAGTGGACACGCCAGGATGCAGAGGGTTGGTGGTTCGACTCCCCAGGGTGATTGGGAAGGCCTCCCAGAGGGGGTGACATGTGAGCAAAGACTGGACAGTGAGGCCGAGCCAGCCAGACGGTGTGTGCCCCGAGGGGAGCAGGGGTGCTGTTAGAAGGAGACAAGAGGCCCTGGGGGGCAGAGGCGGCAAGGCAGGTCCTGGCGAGACGGGGCCTCACGACGCTGCTGGCCCAGGTGGGATCACAGACCCGGAGCACACCTCATGTTCCCTGGGGCCCGGTCCTCCATGTGGCCCAACTCCCTGCAGGGTGGGCAGGGGCCATACACCAGAGGGGCCTGGAGGCCCCTGCGCTGGGCACAGGCAGGAGGGGCAGGGCAGTCGGGCAGAGGAGGGTCTGCCCCCCTTAGAGCCACGGCTCGTTCCGTCCTGGCGAGGCACGGAGCCCATCCGTCCATGTCCCCACAGTGGAAAACGTGAGCCGGGGAACCTGAGCCCTGGGTTTTCCTATGGTTTTTCCAGGCGCGGGCCTGTCTGTGCCAGGAACGCGCTTTCTCATTTCTCCAGGGAAGGCCAGGCCGTGCCTGTCACACCTCAGCATGAAAACATCCACCCCCACCCCCGCTTCCTCCCACACCTGCATGGAGTCGGGGTTTCAAATGAGGGCAGGGGCTGGGGGAGCTGACCCAAGGAGGGGCTTGCGCCAAGACCCTTGCCCAGATCCTACCCTGTTCCCTGAGTGGCGAGACAAAGCAAGACTTGACACAAGTCTCACGCTCCAACCGGGGGTCTTCCTCCCTGCGCCCTCTGCTCCCAGGAGTCGGGTCGGGAGAGGCAGGACAAGAAGGGGGTCGAGGATGGGCCCCTACGTGAACGGAGGGCAGGATCCTCAGGCGGGCGCTGGGGCTCCAGGCCAAGCTTGAGCCTCTCTGTGTCCCCCACTGCCCACCGGGAGAAGGCACAGCTGGGGCTCACTGGCGGGTGGTCTGGCTTGAAGTCCCCTCCCTATGTAAGTGTGAGCCGCTAACCCGATATTTTCCTCTGTGAAGTGGAGACAGTGACGGCTGGGCTCCAGGACCCAGGGTGTGCTCAGTGCTGGGTGAGCCCTGGGGCACCTTCGAACACCAAAGCCACCACTCCTGCTTTCTCTCTGGCCTGTACGGACAGACAGAACAGAAACCGAGCTGTCCCTCTGCACGGCCAAGAGGGGCCAGACCACAAACCCCAGAGAAACCGAAGGGAAAGGCCAGCAGCCACAGCTGCGTCCCCCAAGCCCGCAGCACAGCCGGGCCCAAGGTCTGCCTCTGCACGCCCACCCCAGCCCGGTGCACCTGCCCAGCCTGCCACAGGGCCCGGGAGCCAGGCCCACGCCTCTAGGTACCCACTCCCCCAGAGCACAGACCACGTAGAGGTCGCCCCACAGCAGGTTGGCCTGAGACACGCCAGCACAGTGAGCGGCCCAGTCTCTCCTCACCCCTCTCCCTGCGTGCGTGTGGACGTGCACGCACAGACCTGGGCACACACGGACACGCTTATGTCATCCGTGTGGTTCTAGCCCGCCCAACTGTGGCTAGTGCGCTCCCAAATGCACTCCTGGCAGCCAGGAGGCCCTAAGCAAGGCTCAGACCCGGAAGGCTCCCCTCAGTCGGCCACCCACAGCCTGGGAGAGAGAATCCCCTCCATTATCACAGACCGGTCATCCAGTGAGCAGGGCCTGGGCAGGAAGGAGCGGGACACGGGTGGCACGTTTGGGTGGACGCTGTCCTGAACAGAACTGTGAGGGGACCTGCACGAGGAGGCCAGCCTCGGTGGCACCGTGGTGTCAGGATGGGGCGCGAGGGTGGGCGGCTGGAGGCGGGAAGGCTCTGCCGCGTGCTCCTGTGTGACCTCGGCTATGCTGCTCGGCCTCTCTGAGACCCCTCACCTCGCGGGGAGTTGTGAGGGCGCAACGAGAGCCTGTGGGAGGCTCCAGTAACCCAGAGAGGCTGCCCTGACAGTCCCGCCTGCAAGAGGGGCCCACGGGCGGGGAGGCCAGGGGAGAGTCTGGCTCTGGGCGGAGGGCGGCCGGAGGGGCCACGGCCTAAGCTCTCGCCCACCCCAGGAAGGGTCACCCTATCCAACGTGTCGGAGCGGAAGGACAACATGCGCCTGGGCCTGAGCCTCGCCACCAACCCCAAGGACAACAGCTTCCTGGTAAGAGCCGCCTGCTGCTGCTTGGGCTCCGGGAGGGAGGGCTGAGCCAGCCCCACGTGGCCCTCGCAGCACCCCTGCACTCTGCCCTCTGAGGCTCCGGCCCCGTGTGCTCCAGGAAACGGCCCCACCACGTGCTCCCCGCATGTGCGCTCTGGGGGGACTGGCCTGGGGTGTGGGGAAGAGGACCGAGCCTTCGGGCACCTGCCCCAGGGGAAAAGGGAGACAGGTAAGGACAGCCGTATCCCATGGCTGTCCCTCCCCGGGAGCTGGGTGACGGGGTGCAGGCCGCCTCTCTGTTCCAGGCCTGACAGAGACAGGAGGCGCTTTGCCCCAGAAGCCTTTGCAGGGAGACTAAGAGTGAGTGACACGGATGTGCGACCTCGAGGGGCCTGCGGCATGGCAGCCCGGCCATCCAGGCATAGCCAGACAAGGAGGAGGTCTTCATGTATCTAAAGAGAACCCCTTCTGGGAACCAGCAGTTAGCGTAATGGCTATGTCGTTGGACTCCCACGTAGTCGATCGCGGTTCGCGTCCCGGGCCCGGTGGCTTAAAACTCACACCGGGCACGTGTGCGTGCGTGCCCAAGATCCCGAGAGGAGAATGGAGGAGAAGGGATTGCGGCGTGACCATCCC